AAGTGAAGTTTACTTATTCATTCCTTTACTCAGCCAGCCAGGTATCTTTCCAACCCAGAGCTTCTCAAAGCAAATACATCCTCTATAATTTTGGGAAAGTGGCGATTTGGATCTGCTAGGTATGGGGAAAAGCCTAGGAATCTGTATGTCCAACACACTCTTTAAGTTAGTTCTATTCTTGAGACTTAAAATGTTGTCCATATACCAGTACATCCAGCATCCCCTGAAGTTTGTTAGAAATGCAGACTTGGCTCACACCTGTAATCCTAGCTACTCTTGGGGCTGAGATGTGAGGATTCAGGTTCAAAGCCAGCCTGAGCAGACAAATCTAAGAGGCTCTTACCTCCAAATAATGAGCAAAAAAGGCAGAACTATAGGTGTGGCTCAAGTGGTGGAGCACTAGACTTTAGCAACAAAGCTAAGTGAAAGCATGAGACCTGAGTTCAAGCTTCAGTACTGACACCAAAAAGAGAAAGAGGAATGAGGGCAGGAGGGGGATTGAGAGACAGAGAGACAGACAGACAGACAGACAATAAAATTCAGACTTTTAGCTGCTACCCCAGACCCTGTATTTTAACAAGAACTGCACACTACCAGATGATAAATAAGCATTGCTCTAACCACTGAGTTAGCTCATTGAATACTTCATAATCAAGGGGCTTGGCCAGTAAGGGCAGGTGGATTTCCTGCTACCTTCTTCTAATTCAAAATGATCACAGGACCCTACACCAATATGTAGTATCTATTGCCCAGCAAAAGAGACAGAAGTGTGCCTCTTTGTTCAGTCGTTTGGTAGAATGATGAATCTGTTCTTAGCCATACTGGTCACCCTTGACTTTAAGTATGAGGACCCACTTGTCCAATAATCCCCTTCTTAAGAGAACTTTGAATTGCACCAGAAGAGACACCACAGTGTACAGCCATATCAGAGTTCTTAACAGTTTGAGTCAAGTGCTAGGAGATCATAGCTTGTTAACTCACCTGTAAAATGGGGCTGATAAAACCGAAATGGAGCTGATAATACCCTTATTCTAGCTTTCATTAGAGCCTTGTTGGGAAGAGCTTAAAATATGTCGGAGCCTTGAAAATGTAAAGATGTTCATGGGGTTTTAAAGCAGCTTGAGTGAGAACACAGCACATATATTAGGAGGAGTGTGGAAAAGGAATAGACCGGACTCAATCATCAACAGGCTAGGCCTGTTTATTGCTAGCGAGGGGCACAGACCTTCTCACGGGTATGGAGGTTGCAAAAGGGACTTGGGGGCCAGGTTTATATGGGTCTAATCAAGAAAACAAAGGAGTAAAAATCAGGCTGTAATTCCTGGGAGGGTAGAGGCAAGTACCTACTTTAGATTAGGTCCAGAATAGAATGTCCCACTTGGCGTGGCCGGGACTGTCAGCCAGGCCTAGTTTGGAATAGCGTGTCTGCGGACAGGCATGTGGTCAAGCCTGCTCATGGGCATCTGTTGTCTTGCTTGATCTGTGCGAATAAGGCAGGAGTCAATCCTTCAAGCTACATTGCAGTGGCAGGGAGATATGACCTCAAAATTTAGTCCTAATGTCTACTAGTCTCGTTATTTCTGACAAATTATTTCATCTTACTCAACCTCAATTCATTTGTACATAACATGGCCATGTGGGACCTCAATGTCTTTGTATATAACATAACTATAACTAGATCTAGTGCATAGAAAACTTTAATAAGTGATGGCTAAGAGCAGCAGATTCCGGACTTGGTTGAGAAAGATGCCCTTTCCCTGGGGGGGAAGCCTGTTATACCGAGGCAAATGAGAAAGTGCTCTTCAGGCTGGCTAAGGTTTTGAGTAAATGCCTGTCTAGTTCAAGAGACCAGGTGCAAGTCAAGCTTTCACATGTACTGGAATATTTGTACCAATCACTGCAAGATGGAGGGTTTGCTTTGCTTATTCTGTCTTATTCACCCTCTGAGAAGAATTGACTCATCTGGGATGAGACAGACTGATTGATGACAGTCACCAGAACCTGGCACAGAAATGCTGTCCATGCACATGGACCTCCAGGCCATGGTGAAGCAACAGAATTAATGGTAGCCAAGGTCATGCAAGTGATGAAAGAAGACTACTCGAGTGTAGGTACTGATGATGCCCTTGTTAGTAAAATAACAGAGAAACGTGTCTTCGTTGCTCAAGACATGTTAGGCAGCTTCTGAGTTGTTACTGCTTTCTATAAGCAGTTAAGCACTGGAGACATAGACTATTGTCTATTAAAAAGAAAGACAAAAGTCCTTGTCATGCCTTCTAAACCTCTAGCTTGAATTTTTTTTTTTGGTTGGTCCTGGGGCTTGAACTCTCTCTGTCCCTCAGCTCTTCAGCTCAAGGCCAGCGTTCTACCACTTGAGCCACAGCGCCACTTCCTCTAGCTTGAATTTTATTTTGAGTTTTCCTTTAAGGCCTTAAGTTTTCTTAAGCCTTTTTCCAGGCAGGTTGCACTTTTGTGAAAGTATTCTTTGGAACAACTGATTGTCTCCCTTGTCTTCTCTTAGGCTTTGTAGGGCTTATGGGTTGATATCCTTGCAGGTGATGTGCCCTGGAGTGTCCTGGAGTGTGACCAGCAGTTCTGAGCACAGAGCGCAATCCATAGAAAGAAAATAAGATATCTCAGGATTTTTCTTTTGCCTTAAGAATTTAAGACCGAATACACTATCAAGCTGTATTTGAGTATAGAATGGTAGAACTCCTAGGTGGGAACAAAACAGTTGAGAGAGGAAGTGATCTAAGAATTTTTTTTTTCTTTGTAGGCCTTGGGGCTTTGAACTCAAGGCCTGGGGGCTGTCCCTGAGCATTTTTGCTCAAGACTAGGAATCTACCACTTGGAGCCATAGTGCCACTTCCTGTTTTTTGATGGTTAATTGATGATAAGAGTCTCACAGACTTTCCTCTCTAGGCTGGCTTCGAACAGTGATCCTCAGATCCCAGCTTCCTGAGTAGCTAGGATTATACAGGCCTGAGCTACTGGTGCCTAGCCCAAGTACTTTTAAACACACCCCATCATGGTTATCCTGCATTTGGCCTTAGCTGTTGACTCACTTGGTTAGAGTTTGACCTCAGTGGGTCATTTATCTCCTGTGCAAGGTCACAGGATACAGTCACTCTCTATATAGAATATTTGAATTGTCACCAAAGCAATTTGGAAGACAGGTGTATAAAAATAGAGATGAAGTTCTGGGTAGAAGAATACTCATGGGACATGTACATTACATGTCTGTAATTCTAGCTACTTGGGAAGTAAAGATGGAGGATCCATGTGTGATGCCAGCCCTGCTAAAAACTGTGAGACATTATCTGAAAGCTGACTAAAGCCAAAAATGTTGGGGGTGTGGCTGAAGTGGCAAAGTACCTGGCTAGCAAGCACAAGGATCTGAATTTAAATCCCAGTCCACCAGAGGAGGGGGGTGGGTACAGGGAGAAAAGAGGAAAGGGGCAAACCTTGATGAACCCACAGGAAAGATGGTTTGAGAGGCATTACTTTTTAAAATATAAGACCATAGAGTGTTAGCATTTGCTAAAGGTCAACAAACTGGATTGCAACAACTGCACCCCTGCCAGCTATCATATTTTACTAGGCAAGTAATTGTGTTCTTGGAGATCTAGGGGAAGTCATACTTACTGTAAGTCTTCTGTACCTATTGTAAGTCTACAAACTCCACCACACTTCTGTGAAGTTCAAATAAGGTATTAGAGAATATTTAAACCTTCAAGGTGGCGTTTTCCAATGGTAGCCACTAGGAATGTGTGGCTATTTAAGCCCAAATCAAATAAAATGAAATAGAATATAAAATCCAGTTCTTTCATCAGACTGACCACATCAAGTACTCATAAGTCACATGTGGCTAGTAGTCACATGTGTACAAGGAGTACAGAGTATTTGAAGTGCCACAGAAAGCTCTATCAGACAACTCTGTTTCAAAATGTTGCCTAGGGAATGATATTAAGGACATCAAGATTGACCTATTATAGAGGTAACAAATTCTATCACAGTTAGGGATCTTCGGAAAAGGAACCGAACCCATTCATTCAAGTTATCTGAAGTAAAATAATCAGTGTTACTTGAATAATTCAGGAAAGAAATGAATGGATCCCAAAAGTAGTACAGCTTGACTTCAAGAAGGATTTCAAAAAGAAGGTTTTCCTCTTGATTTCCTCCCCCTATTTCCACTAGGGCTCTCATCGTTTTTCCCTGGATATCAGCAGTCATTGCTGACACTACCACTTTTGCTTTCTTCCCTCTTCTCCCTTCCCTCCCTGTCCCTTTCTTTCCCTCCTTTTCTTTCCTTTATCTCCTTTCTTCACCCCTTCCTCTTCTCTCCCTTCTCTCCCTTTTCCTCCCTTCCCCTTCTCTTGTCTGTCTCTATCTCTGTCTGTCTGTCTGTCTCTCTTTTTTCTCTCTCTCTCTCCTCTCTCTCTCTCACCAGCTTTCTCAACTTTACTGCACAAGATCCATACAACTTTACTGCAAAAAGGTCCATACAGGAAGAGTCCATATAGGATTGTTTGTTGAATCATCTCTAACAAAAGCTGTTTCGGATTCTCATTAAGTCACCCTGCTGTGTCAGCCCCTGTCCCTATCATCTCTGGGGCTATAAGAGCAGGGGTCCTATGCTACACTTATTCACCGAGGGGGAGCACTAATCATACATGGCATAAGATTGGAAAATTGGCCAATATTCATCCATAGCACTTCGTCGAGGCCCATAGAGCTTACAATCAGCTTACAATCAGTGCCAGCAGAGATTTGACAGTGGCTGTACCGAAAGCAAGTATGATGGCTTTTCTTCTTTAGGCATTTGCATAGCTCAGACAACCCAATGCAGGTTTGCAGGACAATGGTTTAAACTCCATATTTATTTACCTGGAAGAGAATGGCACAGCCAGGACTACAAGGTGGAAATCTAGCTTAAACCTTTGTCATTTCTTAAACACAAACTAAACATTCACCAGTTCCCTTTTCTCTTCTGCCTTTAGGAGGAACATGAGGTTCCCTTGGAGATCTTTCAGGAAGAAGATGGAAGGGGCAGTTTAAAAGACATTAAAAGCTGCAGGCCGAAAGACTGGGGCCCGAGGGCTGGCAGTGGAAAACTCTATTGAGCTGTGATCTCTCATTGAAAAGTTCCAAGTGCCTTTTTGCTTCCTGCAAAAGGAAGGAAGAAAAGGAGGAGATCATGTCCATAGCCCTGAAACAGGTGTTCAACAAGGACAAGACCTTCCGGCCCAAGAGAAAATTTGAACCTGGCACACAGAGGTTTGAGCTGCACAAGAGGGCTCAGGCATCCCTCAACTCAGGGGTGGACTTGAAGGCGGCTGTGCAGCTGCCCAGTGGGGAGGATCAGAATGACTGGGTGGCAGTGCATGTGGTGGACTTCTTCAATCGGATCAACCTCATCTATGGCACCATCTGTGAGTTCTGCACAGAGCAGACCTGCCCTGTGATGTCCGGGGGCCCTAAGTATGAGTATCGGTGGCAAGATGACCTCAAGTATAAGAAACCAACTGCGCTGCCAGCCCCCCAGTACATGAATCTTCTGATGGATTGGATTGAGGTTCAGATCAATAACGAGGACATTTTCCCCACCTGTGTGGGTAAGTTTTGTTTTCAGTCATACCTATACCCTTCATCACCCCCAACCAAGCTCAGAAGGTTTGCAGAAGGTGATCCCGAAAGGCTAGAATCCCTTTAAGTGCTGGATAGCACCTATGGTAATATTTCCCTAAATTCTGCCAGTTGCATACATGCATTTTCTTTCTTCATAGCTAAGAACTGCATTGAAATGGAAAAAAACGTCATTTGTAAACTGCTTGTGAATACTTTAATGGACCCCAATGGGGCATGTACCTTATGCTTGGCATATAGATTTGCTTTTGTTGGATTTCTTAGGACTAAGGTCTATGTCTGTCTGTCTGTCTCTTCAGGATAACTGGGAGGGGTTGGAAGTTATATATAAATATAAATAAATAAAATTATATATATGTATATACACACTTATTTATTTGCTAATTGATGAATTAAGGTTGTATTGATTGTGATGTACTTATTGGTAGCATCTCTCTTTCAGAAGTAAGAAGTTCCAATATGGGAATCTATGGATTGTTATGGGAACAAACAAATAGGGGTTTGAATTCTAGGGCGATTAAAAAAAATCCTAGCATCATTCTCCCCCATCTCTCTCTCCCTCTCTCTTTCTCTCTCTCTCTCTCTCTGGTTATTAATTCCAGGCTTCATGGTTAACTCTGACTCTCGAAGAGCTGCTAAACCTACTGGAACATTTGAAATGCAAATGCTTTGGTTTGCTTTATGTTGTAGGCCAGCAACCACAAAGGAAAGGACCAGACCTTTTCTACTTCTTACATTTCTTTATGCTGCCAGCCACTGGATTTCCTATGCACTGACAGGATGAGTTTAGGATTCATTGTTTTATGGCCAAAGGTCAATAGAAATGAGCAATCCCTTATTTCCACTATTGAATCTCCAGTGCCTAGCACAGTGCCTGCATTCTGTGTGAGTGCTCAGAATATTTGTGGAATGACTGAGGAAATACTGTGCTATAGAAAAGCCTTCTTTAAAAGCTCTAGGCTGGCCAGCTGGGAATATGTGAAACATTGTTGAAATCACCTTTAGATGAGGAGAGGGGCGTGTCTTCAGGTGACATATGGTAAGTTGAGAAGGGGCACATGGAAATAATTAAGTTTACAACAGAAAAAAAGAATATAAATTGATTGGTGCAGTATAGTACATCTTGAAATATTTAGCACACAAAATTTGTCAGAATCCTTGTGTTATCTTGGCGTGTCCTGTTTCCTCTGTTCCTTCTCTCTCCCATCCCTTGTTAACAGGAAGGAAATATGGTGTGAGGTAGGGCTCCCAAAGGAATATAGCTGGTCTCAGAAACTCTCCTGGGCATATGTTAAATACCTCCAGGAAAGTGGGAATTCCTTTGGTCCTTGTCTTTTTTTTTTTACTCTTTTCATTAGCTGTCAAAAGCTATTTTGGTACTAGAAGGATTTTTTTTTTCTTTTTCCAGAAATCTTACAAGTAACTGCCAGTGCCCTGCATAGAACATATGATAGCAATAAAGATAAATAAACATGAGCAAGAATACCTTCTCTCTGCTTTCCTCTGTGTCTGTCCTTGGATGCTTTGAACCCTGGGCTCCTGCTCTCTGGCAGCTATGGTTTTACATAGAATTGACTGACCAGAGATCTCAGCATTGCACTCTATGTATTACTTAGGAGTGAGGCAATTTTGGCCTTCTGCTTGGAAAACAGGGCATTATAGGTAGCTTTAGACTTTGCTCAGAGGAAATTAGTGGATGCCTTCTGGTCTTCCAGAGAAAATGGCTTGATTTTTTTTCCCTAGACATTTCTTTAGTTATTTGACATGTTCGGGGAACAAGCTAAACTTCTTTTTCAAGTCTGCCCAATCTGTACTTTGTAGGATACTAGTATCCTGAGAGATCTTTCATGGGATTCTCCTCCCTCCATGGAAAAATAAGTTTGGAAAATGCTGAGTGAAGTTGATTTCTTTACCACAGGACTTTAATGTGCCAACGTGCATTTTATGAATTTCTAAGAAGAGAATGTTTTACTATGTGGTGTTTCCTAATTTGACCCTGGTACCTTTTCTTTTTCCCTTTTTTTAAAAATAAAATACCATTAGTAGCTTTTGGGAAATGTTATGCTGTGGAGAATTGTGTGTGTGTGTGTGTGTGTGTGTGTGTGTGTGTGTGTGTGTGTGTGTGTATGAAAGAGAGAGAATTACTTAGGCCTTTGTTCAAAATGAAAATCCCTTTAACAATTGAATTAGAATCTCTTAGGTGGTATTGTAAGATGAACCATCCCAGAAACCATATTTGAAATATAGAATACTGAAGTCTTTATTATACAGTTAACAGGCTGCAGGCAGCCAGTTGTTACAAAGGCCTGCAGCCCGCAAATACATGTTAACACAGCTAAGAAACATGCTAAAGAGGAAAGAAATAACAAAAACAATACCAACAAGCCATTTCAGCTTCATTGGAAAGCTGAATTGGGACTCCATGATGACTGGAGGTGAGCAGGAGACAGGACACAGAGATACATGTGGCATGGAGTCCTGGTAGCTAGGCTGGTCTGGGCCTAAATAGGTCGGCACAGGGGACAAATCCACAGGAAATTCCCAGTCCCAGGCACTGGACTGATTCAGTAACCTTATCAGCCAAGTAAGTGCCTGCCCCTGCCTTCAGAGATCTGAGCACACCATTACCTGGGAGATGGGGTGTTTCCTTCCCCCAGCATGAAGACAAGATGCCAGACCCTACAATCCACCATGTAGCCAATATGGCGCCAGCCAGACCTGACCTCCTTAACTTCAGTGGGACCTAGAATCTGCACTTTAAAAGCAAACAAAGCTATACTCACTATAATCTCTAGATTTTCTCTCTTTTATCCAGCTGAAATTTGGAACTCTTTGGCCAACATCTTACTAGCCCCTGGCAATTCCTATTCTACTCTACTCTTCTGAATTCCATTTTTTTTTTTTTTTAGATCCCACATGAGATCACGTAGAACTTTTGTTCTATGCATGGCATATTTCACATAGCACAATGTGCCTCAGCTTCATGCACACTGTTGCAAATGACAGCATTTCTTTTTTTAAAAAAAGGCCAAATAGTGTTTTATTATGTTTCTATGCCACATTTTCTTTATCCAGTTATCCTGTTGGTCATTTGCATGTCTTCTTTTGAGAAAGGCAGTTCAAATCCTGTGCCCATTATTTAACTGAGTTTCTTTTATGACTGAGTTGTTTGAGCTCTTGATGAGCCTTTAGTTTTAATAAACACCCATCACGCGTGCTTCTGTTTACTGTAACCACCCAGAGTGAATTTCATTTCCTCACGATCAGCTTTCTCACCATGGTTTTATCCATGTTGTCTCAATCTGTAATCACCCATTTCTATAATGAATTTTCTGTGAAAGCTTTCACCTTTCTTAAAGCTACAGAATGGCACTTGAATATTAAGCGTTACGTCCAGTCTGGATGTTTTATAAGTTTTTGGATGGATGGATAGGCTCTTCCCTGCATCTTTTTCCACAGTCTTCATGACATCTAACTTTTTGTCAAAGTGAAATGTTAGGGATCAATAAAAATCACTCTCATCTACCATCCCTATAGGAAACTCTTCATCTGCTCACCTGTGTAGTCTTTTCTTAGATTTTACTGATGCCGGCTTTTAGAAGACTTATTTTTAGGAGTCGCTTTCTCTCTGCATTTTATTTTCTCCACCTCCTCCTGCTGATTCTAGCCTACTTTTCCTTCCTTTTGATCTTTGTCCTGTCACAAGTCATTATCATAGAAAGGATCAAGATGTCTGTCAGGACAAAATGAAAGAAGAATTCTAGGCAGCTAGCAGATCCTGTAAGGATGAGACATGAAAAGATCTGCTTAGCATTACAGCTTTGAATCCTGGGCATATTTCTGTGTTCCTAAACTTTACCTCCTCCTTACCGCGATCTGAGGGAATAGAACCAGTGACAGATGTGAAGGCTTCACCCTCAGGTATTCAAGGATATAAACAGCTGTTGATCTCTACCATAGGAACACTGACTAAAGGAAAGCCTTTCATCTGTCACTAGATTCAAGTTTAACTAGGAGGCTGTTCTATTCTAGAAGTCACCTTTCTCAGATGGGAAAATACCAAACATATGTGGCTCCCTTGTAAACCATAACCTTCTACACTCTCTCTGACCTGCCCAGCTTGCTTTGTTAGCAACCCAACAGATGTCCCTATGGAAGCCAAGGACCAGTCCCTCTTTGATTATACATCTGTGTGTGTGTGTGTGTGTGTGTGTGTGTGTGTGTGTGTGTGTGTGTGTGTGTACCAAAGCTTAAACTCAGGTAATGTCCCTTAACTTTTTTTGCTCAAAACCTATCACTCTATGACTTGAGCCACAGATCTACATCTGACTTTTTGTTGTTCCAGCTTTCTGGAACACTTCTGGCACACACCAAGGCCTGGGTTCTGTCTCTGGGACAGCATTCAGGGATGACATTCACGATAGAACCACACCTCCATTTCTGTTTCTTTGCTGGTTAATTGGAGATAAGAGTCTCCACAGATTTTCCTACCTGTGCTGGCTTTGCACTTTAACCCTCAGATCTCAACCTCCTGAGAATTGCAGGTAGCTAGAATTACAGGTGTGAGTCACTGTCACTCTGCTTGATTCTACCTCTTTAACCACCTTTAGACAGAACAGCCAAGACAGAAAGACAGAAAAATTTAGATTAAAAAAGGAATTCTATTGTCTTTCTAATTGCAATACTTTTAATGCTCTAGCCCTAAACTTTTCTGCTTTCTATTACATAATAGGATTTAATATTTTAGACTTCATACTCACGGGAAAGAAAATGAGGAGAAAATTTAGAACTCCTGTGACTCATGTTTTGAAAATCTTCGGAAAGGAAGAATAAGAACATACAAAACACAATCCCATGATCTCACCTATTTGTGAGGTTTAAGAATAACTCGGACTCAGGGCAGGAAAGATGGGATAAAGGAAGGAAAGAAGCAAGTTCACATCTCTGGAGCCTGCTAAATGCCAGGCAC